ATAAATAAAGATTCCCCAGTGTGTTACAGGTGGTAGGTTATAATAGGCAATTTGAGCCTTAGAAGTAAGAACATATGAAGATCCAAGGGCCCACCTAATCCTATCTCATGCTATCTGCTTGCATTGCAACAACTGCACTGCTACCCCCTCACTAACCACTTTCATTCCTGTTCACACTGATCACACAAAGTAATGTTAGGCAGCAAGCTTATAATTAAGCAAGTGCAATCTGAACTCATGCCCTATGACTGAAGTTAAAGCAAGCATGACTACTAGCACAGTCACACACACGCACGCGCGCGCACACACACACAGAGTTAGGGCTGTTGGGCAGAATAAAGCCACCAAGTAAAATGTTAGGTATTTATGACACAGTGATGCAACTACAGAACAAAGCAGTTTGAACTTTCCTAAAACATATATATTACTGTAAAGCCATGGAGCAGGTGTATTTATGACAATGTGGCTCTCACCAAGTCTTACAGCACTAGTTAGATTTCATTTTACATAGACTGGCATTTATCAACCAAAAACTAACAGCAGCTATATAAAGCATCATTCCTATCAATGGGATGGAGACTGACCAGAAGCAGCTTTGGATGACGTCTGTTTGGTATAGAATAAAGAAAAATATCAAAGCTGGTGTAAATATAATTGTGAAGGAGTTGAACTAGGACTGAGGAGACCCTGGTTCAAGCCCACCCTCAGCCATGGAAGCTCTCTGGGTGAGCTGCTCTCCCTTCCCAATGTAACTCACAAGACTGTTGTTTTGAAGAAAATTTGGAGGATGGAGGGCTATGTTCATTGCCTTCAGCTCTTGGAGGAAAGGTGGGATATGAATCTAAAAATAAACACTGCTTTATCTAATCGCTTTTTTTAATGGCTATAGGCACTTCTGACATAAGAGCATAGTTTCGGACCCTTTTAAAACTGCAATTTAATGGGATTAATTTCAGATAGACATGTATATGACTGTACTTTAAGCCTCTCCCAGGTAAATTCTGGTCCAGTTTGCTCCTTGAAACTGTATGGCTGGAGCTGAAAATATAAGAAAATGCCAACTGGCCTGATAATGTAGATGCTTCCAGATATCTACCAACAGGCCCCATGCTAGTTTAATCTCTAGGAACAGTTATGGAGAGACATTCTGTTTCTAAAAATGACCATAGTAAGATTGACGATCAATGAAGATGCACAAGCCAATGGCTATTGGAACGTACTGTGGGAGGAAATGCCTCAAATGATGTACATTGTGAAATAATGACCTAGCAGTATGTGATCTGAAAAGAAATCAAATTTTCACAGGGAGATCCTTGGCTTCTTTGACCTTCTTGGATAATTTTTATTGAACCTGGAAAAAGGGGACTGATCTAGATCTCAGGCAGCATGGTCTCTCAGCACTCTCTAGGGCTGAAGGAATCCAAGTCTGGATTGAAACAGCATATCCTTGACACTAATCTTCAGAGAAACCAAGGTAATATATACTAATCTGCTAACCACTAATATTACTATTACTTCAGCTAACCACTTATATTACTCTGGCTAACCATCTATACTACTACTCTGCCCATGGACTTCTTTCTCCAGCTAGCCATCTAACGAAGATCCTGAGGTCATTTCCCCAATGGCCCTCTCCCCAGCAAGATTTAACTTCTTACTTTCCAAGCTAATAGAGGGCAGTTATGACATCCCATCATATGATCAGATATACCCCTGTCAAACAGAGGTGACCAAGTCTGTTAGCCACATTTTACTCTAGTCTCCTGTCTATACAGGTGCAGATTTGCAATTTACTATTAAACTGTTATGGTTGGTCTGATGAGGAAGAAACTCAATTTCTGTTGGCTGACATGATTCCATAAAGTACCCAGAAAACTGTGCAGCTGCTATTTCCATTTGGAGAATAATAATTTAGAACTTTTATTATAATATACCTAACCCTATCTTTATCCTCCTTACAACATATATAAGACTAGGAGATTTTGTTAGGCAGACACATAGATGAAGTTAGCTATATATATTTTTTTTTTGACATCTACAAATATTGAGGTTTCATCACTGCTTTATATATTGTTTTATCTTATTTTACTTTTGATTTTTTCTTCTCCTTGGTGCCAAGTCTTACACTGT